CTTCCTTTGTTTTCAGGCTGTTTAATACCATATTCTATTTTATCTTTTTTTTTTTTTTTTACTGGAAAAAAAGGCAGCTGGGTGCAGAGCAGGTGAGACTTACAGATGAAGTCTGTTTCTACTGCTGCTTGCTGTGTGACCTTAGGCCAGTCACTACCCCTCCCCGATGCTAACTTGGCTCTTAATGATGCAGTCCTCTTCTGACTCAGTCTTGCAGTTGAAGTCCTTCTCCAGCTGTGATTCACAGCTCGGATTTGCATCATTATTCAATAGTAGCAACTTTTCAGGGCAGTGTCTGCTCATCACTGCTGCCTGACAGAGAGAATCAATTTGTTCGCTGGGGAAATGAAGACATTATTATTTCTCCAAGATGTCCTCGAATGGGGACCCCAGTGAGCAAGCAGGCCTGCCTGCCTGGCTCCATGACAACCGAGCCAGGAACCTGGAGACTCCCAGGCAGAAGGTTTGCTAGCCTGGCCTCCTATAAGGACCACCGGTATGTGGCCCCGATGAACCTTTTTTTGTGTAGACTTAAACCTAAACTTGAGGGGCTGGAGAGATGGCTAAGTGGTTAAGAGCACCTGTTGGTCTCCCAGAAGATGAGGGTTTGGTTTCTGGCATTCACATGGTAGACCCACAACAGGGGACCCGATGCCATCTCCTGACCCCCACAGGCACCAGTGGTGCGTACATGCAGGAAAAACATAACACATACAAAATAAAATAAATCTAAAAAAACACATAAAACAAAAGAGCAACCCTGAACTTATAAAAGGAAGAAGATACAGATTGGGGCTGGAAGCCTTCAAAAAGGGGCAGAAACGACAGGGGCTATTTTGAGTTATGGGTACACACAGGACAACCCTGAAGCTAGAAAGTTCTGGAAGATACTGGGGTGAGTGAGGCCTAGGTGTTGAGACCCTGTTCCCAATACAATATCTCAGGTGCAGTGCCAGGAGGAAGGTTTAGGAGGGATGAGGCCGGAAGATGCTTCATGTAAGTAATGTTCTGGCTGTGAGCCCTGGGTCACAATGGGAGAAACACAGGCTGTGAGGAATTGGCAGGAAGACAGTGACATCACCACGTGGGGACACTGGTGCTCTATCATCACAGTGATTGCCATGAAGGTACAGCTGCCCCTGGGTATCTTCACAGGCTAGAGGATGGGCGGAGACCATCACCTTGGCTGATAGCCAGCAAGGTGGGAGGAGGGGCTGGAGTTCTCCCTGCCGCACTGTGCCCTTACGCCTAGAGATGAACCACTGGAAAATATGTCTGCCACCACAGCGGTTTCCTTTTGCACCTTGAAAACAGGAAGAGAAGAAGCTAGAGCCCCCCCTGTGGGAATCACCATACCTCAATATCACATCCAGCATCAAGGACATACAGCTTCTTCTCCTAGCTGGGGTCAGAACCTAGCTAGAGCCAGGCTAGGCTCTAAAGCTGAGGAGGGACATGATATAGGCTGAGTCTGCCCAAAGGTGTGTGGACAAGAAGTCGATACAGTACCCACCTTTGCATCCCAGAGGGAGGCCAAGGTATCTAGGGGCCCTCAACCAGCAGATGAGCAGGTAGGGTGAGTGTGTGAAGAAAACTAGCCACACTTGTTCTTTGCAGCCCCAGGAAGAAGACTCAGGGCAGGTAGACAGAGATCAAAGAGATGTTCTGACCCATTAGAGCCAGTCCCCAGCAGCAGCAGCAGCAGCAGCAGCAACATTAACCACTGAGGGTAAAGTAAAAACCCCAGGGTAGAGATCTAATCTGTTCAGCCACCATCAAGCTACTGCAACTCTTTGCATGCTGACCCACTGGGCCCCTCCCAACCCTTTGTGTGAGAGCAATGGACTTTTCATCCACCTCTGTCAGGGATGGAGCTCACAGAAGTTGTGTGATCTGGCCACTGTCAAACAGGGAGACAGAGCTGTCACCATGTCTAAGTCTAACTCTAAATCATATAGGGAAAGGGAGTTAGTCACAGTCACCTTCCAGCTCTAAGGTCTTCTGGAGTCTGGGACTGTTGAGCTATCAGCTCTCCAGTCTCTCTTAGCCCCATTACAGCCTCCCCACTTGTGCCTTCTCTTCTCCGTTTGAGCAGCCTCTCAGATACCCCCATCTCATCTGCCTGGAAAGCCTGTCCATGTTCATGTTTCATGAACATGTTCATGTTCCTGGGGTTTCCTAGGGAGCTGTGAAGTACAGCAGTGTGCCTCAATGACACACAAAGCCACAGTCACAAAAAAAAATAAGAACCGACATAGGGACAGATACCTGACCAGCAGAATGGAGTTCAAAGTCAAGAACTCATACCTTAAAGAATAATGTAAAAATAAACTTGCGTGTCCATTGTTGATTCATTTTTCACCAAGAGTAATAACCAAATCAGGGGGAAAGGATGGTGGTTGCAGCATTGGGACAGCTGCTGTTCACAAGCAGAAGAATAAGTACCCCCAAACGGGTCAATCTAAGTTCAAGGCTAGTATTACAAACTCCTGAAAGAAAAAAAAAGAGGTGGCACTTTGAGGTCTTGTATTTGGTAATGGATTCTTATACAGGACATCAAAGAACGCACGAACAGCAGCAACCAAACAAAACAGATGGAATGGAGGCTATGAGCATCCTCTTCAGGGGCAGCTGGGTCTCCATCACCCACCCCTCTCCTGCAATCTGCTTCTTGTGGGCAGATCTCAGACTTCATAGAAGGCTGGCTGGCAAGACAGATTACAGGAGCCTGACTGGGGACTTCTTTTGTCTTGTCATGTTCCCATTGTACAAAGCTGGGTAGAGAATTAGGGAAAGGTATCACCGTGCCTTTGGATGTTTGCCAAACAGTTCCAGGGACAGAAGGCCCATGCTGAGTTCTCCCCTAACCTCTTGGTGGACATGCACCCTGGAGCAGGTCACAGCTCCTCTGAAGCCCCAAATGGCATCACCCATAGGAAACTTAAGAAGCTGGCTTTTGGATGTTGGTACAATCAACAGTTACCTGCTGAAAGGGCCCAGGAAGGGCAAATGGGAGTGAGATGTTAGCTTGGAGTAGAAGCTGGAAAAGGCAGCCTTCACACCCCTGGTGGCCTCCAGGACCTCAGAACTAAGTGTTCGCTGACACAAGCCAGACCCCTTTCCCAGCCACTTTCAGACCAGGCACAGGAAAAGGTATGTGTCTCCTGGGTAGCATCACTCTTAGTTGATAAACACCCACTCTTACATCCGGAAGCCTGGGTATTTTTAGGAAGGTCTCCTGAGAGGCCACAGGACCCCAAGAGGGCTGCCATTGATCTAAACAAGTAAAGAAGGTGACTCCCACTGGCCCCATCACCTTCTCTCAAGACACTTGATAATGTGCTGAGATTACAGGGTGGTTGCTAAGTTGAGAGGGCAGAATGAGATGACCTAGGGAGCATGTATCACCTGGGCCCAAAGAGCTACATACATGCTAGTTGACTTTCAGAAATGAGTTGTCATTCCCTTGCGATATAGCTAGGTTCCAGGACAAGTTCGTACCGTGCAACCCCTGTCGCTTCGAGACCGTTTTATGTTGTTTTCTGTTTGGAGGAGAGCCCTGGCTCAACTGTCAGGCTTCCTGAGTCCCTCCTGAGGGTGGCCCAGTGACAGCTGCTGCTCCTTCTTGTGTTTGAAGAGACTTCTGAGTAGGAAACCCTCCCTGAGAGACAGTCCTGAGGAGGCGAGCTCTCCCCCAGCAGTTCAAGGCCTCTGATAAAGGAAACTGGGCGGATCCAGGCTCTGTATATTATTTGCCTTCTTCGGGGATTGAGGCTGAGGCTGGCTGTTGCAGAGTCGGAGAACTACAGGCTACAGATGCCAAAAAGGCCACTTGAACTGCATCCAACCTCAGCGCATGCTAGCCACTAAGCCTCAGATCACAGCCAGAATAACCCCCAACAATTGACACATCAGTTTGAGGAGAAAAGTGGCCGAGCGCTGGCCAGCCACAGACAGCAGGGCAGCTAGATAGGAAATGTCACCAGCACGCTGTTCAGTGTGTGCCTTCACAAGATGACAATGACCTCGAGCATGGGGAAAGCAACAGAGGGGCTCACATAAGGACCATGTTGGTCCTTATGTGAATCTTCCTCATCTCATTTCTTCCCAGATAATGTGAAAAGATATTACTCTTATTAGTTCTAAGACGGAAAAACCAAAGCCCATGGGTATTTTACAAAAAGTCCAGTGTTAAAACATGAAGCCCCCCCAGGATGAAATAACAAAGTGCTTTCATGCTTTCTCAAGAACCAGAATTTCATACGGGCAATTTAGTTAATAGGTTTAGTTTAATCTTGAGCATCAAGTCACAGAATGAGCAAAGAACCCAGGTCTGTGATGCCATTTAGTCAGAGATTCAAACCCCGCCCTGTCACTCAGTGCTTTGCAACCCTGAGAGGGTCTCTTCACCTCCCTGAGACCAAGTTTTCTCTTTTAAAATGGAGGTAGAAATAGTGCCAAGATTGCACTCTAAAGTGCATCGGTGGTCACAGCTGACCAGGAGACAGTAGGCCTGAACTGCTTTTTCAGGAACCTTCTACGAGGCCACCCAGCATTTCTGGGGTCTGGGGGCCCCAGAGATAGAACTTAGTCTTGTCATGCTTGGGGTTATCATGACAAGGGGACATGATGGGCAAAATGTCCTGTGAGGTAAAATGTCACCCTTAGGGTGTTGAGCACCCTAGGGAACTGTTCACAGTCCTCAGACTGAGGTGGACGCTGAGGGTGACCAGAAAGGGCTTCTCCTCCTCCAAAAGCTAGTTCCCACTTCCATAATGGATTCCCAGCTGCTTCTGCCTCCCCTGAATTAACATCAGGGGATGGAGACAAGTGTAAAGCTGCCCCCCCCACCCTGTACCCCTGGGGCATGAGCCCAAACACTCTTCCTCCCTCAGAAGGGCAGGAGACAGATGAGAAGCTCCACTATCTTGACTGGCTGTCTTGACTGGCTATCTTGATTGAACATGCCAGGCCACTGTCACACGTTAAGAAATCCCTACCTCTTCCAGCTGTCCTCTTCCTTTCTGGGAAGGATCTGAGATTCCCTTGAAGTCTCCAGATGATGGCTCCAGGCAGCTCTAGAGGGAGGAAAGGGAAAGCAAAAGTTGGTGGGACATGTTGCTCCCAGAGCCTCTTCTGCCCATCCAAGGCACACACTCTCACCTCAGGCTCCCCTTCTCCTCGAATCTGTAGCAGACAGGGACTGCCGAGCAGAGCATAGAGCCCAAGCTTCCCAGGATGGCATTTTTCATCTTTTCAGTCTTCCCACACCAACCCCAGACTGCCGGGATTCGTGCACCCAAGACACTGAACACCAGCACGTGCAGCTTTGCAAAGGGCTTTCTGATAACTTGATGCATGAAGGCTCTTTGGACATACCTATAATTTCAAGTACTGTGTATGAAGAGATGAGCAACCAGAGAAGAGGGCTTGGAGGTGACAGCTCAGCCCCACAGTGTGGCCCAGAAGCCCAGCCTCTCCGGCTCTCCTGTCATTTTGAGGAGGAGTTACAAGGGAAGGGTCAAATCGACCACATCCTAGTGATGTATTAGATAGCCAAGGCTTAGGCTAGTCCCAGAAACTGGCTTGTCACCGCACAGATGAATAAAGTGAGCAAAGGTTACAGCCACCAGGGCAGAGAGGTGGGAGCAAGGTTGTAGTTGTGATCACAAGAACTGAGCTAAATTGAACAGTGGAGGTCCTGCCATTTTTTGCCACCTCAGACAGGGATCAGGACACATCATGAAAAAGCCTACCCACTTCAGGGTGAAAGACCCTGAGCGCGCGCACATACACACACACACACACACACACACACACACACACACATACACACAAAGGCGAGAGTCCTGGTGAGGTGGGGATTAGAACTTGGACCTGAGGAGCCCAGACTGACACAGATATGGCTTCCACATGACAGAGGTCCCACCATCACAGGGGTGAGTTTAAGGTTCTCTGCATGAGAGAGATTCTCAGTACATTAACTGGTGGGGGGTGGTATGGATGGGGACATGGCTTGGTTCTGCCAGGCTACCTGTGCAGTGCCATCAGGCAGTCTGAGCCTGAGGAACCTCATGGATGGTGATCCAGAAGAAGGCTTCAATTGAAGGAATCCAAGATGCACACACAGTAATACACAGGTACACATGGTGAACATAGAAACACCACGTATGCATAAATGAACACTTGGACATGCACAAACACACATGAGCATGCGCATACACGTGATATGCATATGTGCACAAAGACACGTGCTCTTTTTCACACTCATGTGCACACATATGAGCATACAGAATTTTCATTTTGGAAGGTTTCTTTTTTTCTTTTGCTGTTGTTTTTATATTCTGGAAACAGAATCTCACCTTGCCCAGGCAGACCTTCAACTCTGTGTAGCCAAGGCTGACCCTAAACTCCCGATCCTTCTGCCTCCAACTCCCCAATGTTGTGAGCCACCATACCTGGTTATATTTTTCATCTTAGGCACAGAAGTGATCATCCTTACTTGCCCACCCAAAATATCCAGTTGGGTATTTTTACACAGCCTGTGGACCGTGACCCACACCTACTGCTATCTGACTATGCTGCACACGCCTCTGTGACACCGAGGCAACAAATGGGGTCTTGACGCACACGATGGGCACCTCATGAGTCTGTGGTGTTTGTTGCGACCCTTTGAATGTAAGAATGTCTATACTCCTGCCTCCTACACATCCTAGGGCACTTGTGGAACAAACTTCTCCACCATCTGCTTACCAGATACCATGGCCATGGCCATTTCAGGCCACAAGAACCTTTCTACCACCACACCTTAGTGTCCACGTCAGCACGTTTTTATCAGACAGACTCGCAGGTGGAAGGTGCCTCTTAGCTTGGTTGTAAACTTGAAGCAAGGGCTCTGCTTAGGGGATGCCTGGTTTGATCCCCTCTCAGGAGCTGAGACACTGAGTCCCAGGACAAAGGCAGGAGTCTGACGGCCAGCAAAGACAGATGTCCAGGGTTCTACAGCCCAGGGCTCCTCTGAGGAGTGGGAACTTCATTTACTGGCTCAGAACTGATAATGAGTTTTTATGAGCTCAAGGGAACACTCAGAACAGCATTAATGTCAAGCATGCCCGTCAGCTATGCAGCTTGGGTGAATGTCACACATTAACGAAATTAAAGGCTCCAGCCAGAAGCAGCTGCAGGCTTCATGTCAGGAGGATGAACAAGGCCCAGCTCTGACAAAATCACTTTTCACATCGGCTGCTCCCACTGCTCCAGGGCAGACAGATCCCACCTTCCTGCAGCCTAGAGGAGATGAGCTGTAACCATGCAGCCAAGACAGAAAAACCTCCCGCCAAGCCTTATCCTGTGGAAGGGGCTCTACTGGAACCTCATTCCCATCCCTTCAGCTCCCGGGGAAGGTGGTTGTCACTCATGTTCCAGCCAGAGCACCCCTGGGAGACAAGAACAGGATCTGAGGAAGCCTGTGTGGAGAGATGGTAGCCAGGGAAGTGGGCAGTGACACTGACCTCATGAAAGGAGTGGCCAGGAGCAGGAAGGCTCAACTCCCACCCAATGCTTCTCCTATAGACCAGATTTATCTTGAACAAAGCTCCCCCTGAGGTCTGAGGTGGCCCAAAAACTTAGTTCAGAAAAGGGCCTTGAGCACAAGGGATCTACTTACACAGAGCCTAGGAAACTCATCTGGGAAACAGAGTCAAGTTTGGTAAGTAGGGGCTGATCGGAGACTCCCTGAGAAAGCCAAAGATGAAGGCAGTAAAGCCTGAAGCCAGGCTCCAAATTCACAGTCACTGCAGTTTTAATTACACCTAATAGCACCCATTAATTTAATTAATTATGACTTCACCTTTTTATATGATGCAACCTGGTTCCTGAGATACTAAAAATTGATTTTGAAAAAAGTGGTACCTTAAAATTTCTCACGGCGAAAGCTTGGGTTGGAGGGATTTATGGGCATCTCTCTCCATTTTGATTTAAATGGAGAAAGTTGGGGATGGGGAGATGGCTCATCAATGAAGAGCATTTGCTGCTCTCCCCACCCCTCCCCGGCAGCTCACAACCATCTATAACACTGGTTCTAGAGAATCCAATGGCCTCTTTTGGCCTCCTTGGGCACCAGATATGCACACAAAGCACTCACATAATGTAGACTAAATATCCATACGCATGCATATTAGATAAGTAAATAAACACAGCAGGCTGACACAAGAAGGTATACCCCCTGATAATGTCCCTGCCTTTACAATGTTGCCTGCTGAGTCCTTACGACACAGCACCCTTATGGAGCCAACCTGCCATACATTGCTCTGTGGTTTCTGAGGCAGCTCCCTCTTCTAAATCCTCCATCCTCACGGCTTCTACCCATGTCTACCCAGGCTCAAGTTCATGATTGCCTGCCCACTGGCTTCAGAGGGCCTTGAGGTCCGGCTGCTGGTTTCCAGCCTCTGTTCCCTCCAGCCTGCCATGTCTGATGTCACAGTGAGTTCCTAAATGTACAACGAGCTCTGTGTCTGTCTTGTTGTAGTGGGCCCCATGGCTTCCTTCTGTGGATACACAGATCTTTTCTATCATCTGATCCTACACTGGCCCCCGGGCCCATCTTCAACAGCTCTTCACGATAGGAACACATTCCTGTCCTCACTGAAACAACCCTGCCACATGCTTAGCTCTACCTCACTCTGGTTCCCTCATCCCTTTGTCTTTAAAACTCTGAGCTTTACTCCTCCTAACACTTGCCAAACTCCTGAGCACCTTTGAAACCTTCTTGAATTATCTTTTCTGATGTTTGTTCCCAGAATCACAGCAGACATGATAAAACATGGTTCTCCTATGTTCCCCTAATAATGTGTGTCTGGGTGTAGGGGTAACAGTATATATTATATATATGATTATATATGTGTATATAATATTTTTTTTGTGATTTCTATCCCACCCACTGGACTATAGCCTCTGCCAAAACAGAGACAGAATCTTACCGCCTTCTTTGCCCTTTTGTGAGCCTCAGGCCCAGGCTCAGTAGATAACATCTAGATGAATGATAGCTGCTAGGTGAGATGAATGGCAGGCATGTAGAGACTGAATTATGAACATTTGCATGGCTGAAAAGAGCAGCTGAGTTAGAGTTGGTTGTAGGAATGGAGAGATAGAGGGTTGGCAGATGTGTGGTAGGTATAGGTATGGGGGCTTAGAGAAGTGGGGTAAATGGGTGGGCACAAAGACGGCTGGCTGGCTGGCTGGGTAGGTGAATGGTTGGAGTGGGTGGATAATACAAGGACAGATGGAGGACAAACAGATCTAGAAGATCATTCATTAAGGAGCCATGAATGAGGACCTGAGTTTGGACCCCCAGCACCCATCAGCACTGTGGAGGCTGAGATCTCAGCCCTCGGGATCTCAGAATCTCAACTTAAGTCCAGAGAGCAGATGTATGTCTCCTCCCCACTCGAAAGCCAGCATTTAATCAGCAACAGCTGTACTCCAGAATATTCCATACATTGTTCCCAGATAATGTTGAAGAACATGGTTTTAGTCTCCCCGTGTGGCAAAACCCAAGTCAGCAGGCTGTCCAAGAAGAAGTCAACCCTTTCCTAACCAGTTCCTGCCTGCAACTCCTGACTCCATCTCTCTCTGTGTCCTAATCTCTCTCCTTGTCTGCACCTCCCTGCTTTACCCTGGCTCCTTGCTCTCCACTGTAGCCACAATATCACCTCCTAGCTGCTGTTGAGTCCTGAGACCAGTACTCTGAGTCTTGGGTCCCTGGAAAAATCTGTGGAGTCCAGATGTGGCTCTCCCTGAGCACCTCGCAGGTCATCGATGCCAAGTCCCAGAACCCAGGCTGGCCCTCTGCCAGCCCGAGGCATTGTTGCTGACAGATAAAAGCACCACAGTTCATGGCTCCAGACCAAGCCATGGCTTTATTTTGCTTTGTTTTAAATTAGCTACATGGGGGGTTAGCTTGGGAGTGGAGGGTGAGCAAAACTCAGGCATGCTGGGATAGCTGGGATGCATTCCTGCTGAGTCCTGGATCTCAAGATCTCAGGTGGCTGTTAATGAAGCTGCTGGGGTGCTGAGTGCC